AATGCCGTAGGATCAGATAAAACTAAACAGGGGAGTTCTTTTGATTTGGTTTTCAGAAGTCGAATAGCATTAGTATGTTGATCCGTCCACTTAGGCGGATTCTTTTTTAATCGATCAAATAAGGGTTTGGCAATAGTAGCAAAGTCTTGAATAAAATCTGCTATATAATTTAAGCATCCTAAAAAGCGTTGTAATTCTACTTTCGTTAAGATTATATCAGGAAATTTACTACAAAATTCAATAGCTCTATCAATAGGAATGATTGTGTCTTGAAAGATATTGTCCTAAGAATCGAACTTTTGTTTGACAAAGAGCTAATTTTTGGCAGAGACGACGAGTCCCGCAGTTTTTACTGTATTAAGAAATATATTTAAATGTTTAAAATGTTGATGTATATCAGTTCAAAAAATAAGAACATCATCGATGTAGACTATCATAAATTTTAAATAGGGATTAAATACATCATTCATAATTTTTTGGAATTCATATGGGGCATTTTTTAATCCAAATGGCATAACGTTCCATTCATATTGTCCAAAAGGAACATTAAATGCCGTTTTATATCGATCTTGTTCATCAATCTGTATTTGCCAATAACCTGATTTTAAATCAAATTTCGAAAAAATGCAGACATTTAGTAGTCTATCTAATAAATCCTTTTTATTTTGAATTGGATATCTTATCCATTTTAAAACTTTGTTTAGGGGTTTATAGTTGATAACTAGTCTAGGAACGCCTCTTTCCCTTTCTGCATTATTTTCTACGTAGAAGGCAGCATAGCTTCATGGTGATGAGCTAGGCCGTATTAATCCTTTAGCTAGGAGAGAATCTATTTCGTTTTTACATATTTCTACCTTTTTTGTATTCATTTGAATTGGTCGTATTTTAGATTTAGAAAAGTTCTCTTCATAAGGTAGTGATACTATATGTTTATATCGATTCCAAAAAGCAGTAGGTATTTCGCTACAAATTTCTATTTCTATTTGCCTTTTAATTTGACTTATTGTTTTTTGAATTTCAGGTAGTAATAGTTGTTCTTCAATTGTTTTATATTTTATTTCGGCTTGTAATTGATATAAAAATGTTTCTTTGTTTTGTATGTTTTGTTTTATATTATTTATTTCTTTTATTTTTGGTTTATCAATAAATTCAAATTTGACTTTTATTCCTTCTATCGTTGATTCTATTCTAGTATGATCTATATTAATAGGATATAGCATACTGATAAATGGAGTTCCTAAAATCACAGCTTGATTTAGTCCTCTTACCATAATAAATGGTAGTTCTAAGCAAATTCCATTATTACAGATAGCAGTATTCGATAATTTATAATTGATTTTTAATTTACTTCCATTGGCTGTATTTAATACTTGTGTTGCTTTTTGAAAGTATTTTGTGGGAACTAATCCTTCGTTTATACAATTTAAATCAGCGCCTGAGTCTATTAAGGCTAATGTTTGGAAGGTAAATTCGTTCTGGACTATAATTTTAATTAATGTGTTCCATTTTGGTTTAGAATTTTGTTGACTAAATTTAATTGAAGTTTTTGGTTAAGATTAGAGAATTCAGGTTTATCTTCCATGTTATGTAATAAATTTGCAAATTCTATGTCTTCTTCATCTTCAGAATTATTATCTGTTAATTCGGTTAATTCCAATAATTTAATTTTGTTTTTTAACTTAATCAGTTCAGATTTTACTTCATTAATTTCGTGTTTTAGCTCAGCAATAGTAGGTTCCTTTTGACTGTTATTCTTTTGACCAATTCGTTTCAGAATTTCTGAGAAACTATATTCTTCTGGTGGTTTAATTAATGGAGTTGGGTTATTCCTAGCTTTTGCTATTTGAATATATTGACTGATTATGGTTCTTTTATCTTCAGTATTAGGCATTTTGTCTATAATTTCTAGAATTAAATTGTCTTCTTTGGTAAGGGTATGACAAGAACATTTATTATCTTGGTCAGATAAAGAGGATGTTTCATTTAATAAATCTTCACCTTTTATTATTCCTATGTCTGATTCGTCATCAAGACTTTCTGAGGATGAGGAAGAAGTTGTATTGATATCATTATCTTTATTATAAAGCTGAATGATTTCATATAACTGATTTCTTATATTTTCATCTAATATTAAGGATTCTTTTTCTTAACATTACAGCTATTTTTATAATGTCCTAATTTTCCACATTTATAACACCGGGGTATTCTTCTTTTATATCTTTTTCCGTCTTTGGGTTTCTTCTCGTATTTTTCGTCATTATATTTAGGTTTCCTTTTATGATATAGTTTTTTATATAATTTTTTTTTTTTATCTTTCGATGTTTATGAGGTTTATTTTGGAAAAGATCTAAACTATATCCGAATTGTTCGTAAAAGTCGCCTAATTCCTTTTTGCCAGTCTTTTTTTGTTTTTCAAGTTGTTGTTTCAATTTTAGGTCGGTGCAGAGAGATAACCCTTCTACACATTTCGGCTGATAATTCGCCTAAGGTAAAGAGAGGATAAGGAATAACCCCCCCATGTTTGGTTTTGAGACGATTGCGGACTTTTTCAGCAAACAAATAGGGAAGGCCAGAGATGAATTTTTCTTTCCAATGATCGACACTACTATCTTCACGTATGAGGAGTCGAGAAAAGAAAACATCTTTATACCATTTATAATGGGAAAGAGTTCGACATCGAAGATTATTGAGCAAATCTTCAGATCGGGCTTCGAGTAAAGCCGTACTTCCAAGAAAATGGAGTGTAATTGTGTATATTAGTGTATTCACTGCATCACTTTCGGATTGTACTATATCTTGATTTACTTCATACTTTAGACAATCAATATGATACTTATATTACAAGTCAACAAAAACATATGCGTAGCATTCATCCTCCCGAAAAAAGTATAAAAATAATAGATAAAAAATAAGAATTAGAAACTCTAGCTACTCCATATAAAACACTTCCTGGAGAATATTATCTTAAAATAGAATTGTTACCTCATTTGGTTAAACAAAATAATTATACAAATTTATATATATATATATATATATGTGTGTGTGTGAATCCGACCTTCTTAGCTCAGGGGTTACAATCTCCCATTTGTAATATGATGGCCATTGGTTCTCCTCTTATCCAAAAGTTAAGAATAGTAGCACCTCCCCACCTATTAAGCACTTTGCGTGGTCCTAGTATACCCTATACCATCCTCGAGATCAATTTCTCTAGCAAAGTCCATGTCAGAGAATTGGTAGAAAGACTCAACCGAGAAGATCCCTCTACTGCTAGGACCCCAGATCAATATATCTTCCCTTGGTATATAGAAACAAGGCATATTACTCTGATAGCCAGTCAGACGACCATTCGACTTTATCCTTGAAATCGCACCTAAGATCAGGGGTCCAGAACAACATCTGGCTTCTTGTGCTCTGCCTCCTCCTGTGCAGGGATTTGCTGGTTCCTAGCCAAAGCATGAAAACCAAGAAATTTTAATTTCAGTGGACTGGGACCTAACCACGAGTCTTTCAATAAATGTACCTTGTTACCGATACCGACATTGAATATGAACTTGCACATGCAAACAGATCGAGTTTGATTAATCCCATTCCACGCCCCCAAATTCCTCGACTCTGTAGCATTCATACGACTTCTTCCTCAAATGTTTCAAGCTATCTCTGAACTTCCACGACCATTTTCCCAAGAGGACTCGGTTCATTTCCTTAATTCTTCAAATACATGAGCCCACTTCACCTCTTTGGCGGGCGCACTCTTCCAATTTGCAGCAAATTGAACTTTCTTTAGTCCAAGGATATACCCCAAAGGAAATTACATCGGCATATTGATTTTGAGGATCACTATAGCTGGTTAAAAATAATTCAATCGGGACCCCATTTGTCTTTCCATATTGATCCTCACAAGAGAAATAAAAGCACCATACAGACAGCCATAGGTCGGTCATTCGGAAGGAGCTTGATTTCCAAAACAGTAGAGTGCCATCTACATATTCCAGATGGGCGATTGTTCCATACAACAGTACTGCCTCATAAATCCCCATTGCCATGCAACTAAAGGCTTCACGCACTGGTGCAAAAGCAAATGGAGATAAAGAATCCCCCTTTCTTAAACCTCTAAAGCTTGGAATATAGCCTTTTGGGAAGCCATTTACTAGAATTGATAGAATTAAATAGCATTTGATCCAGACCGCTCTTCATTCAAACTCTATAAGGATCATTATTTCATCCAGGAAGGAGCATTCTATATAGTAATATGCTTTTTCAAATATAATCTTCAGTAGCTTCTCAAGGCTTTTTCAAAAATAATCTTAAGTAGCTTCTCAAAGCTTTTTCAAAAATAATCTTCAGTAGCTTATCAGGGTGCTTTGAATGAATGCACTCCTGAGCTGCCAATGCAACATCTAGGTTCTACTTGTTTTCTACAAAAGCAGGTTCTGAGGAAAAGACTGTCTGGTCAAGTATTCCCATGGTGCCTTGAGATCTGGAAACACACACAAGCAATAAGTAAATGATAAGGAAGACCACGGTATCTCTTCAAAAGCGTTGAATTAGTTCAATAACGACTATACTAGACACACATTCTAAAGTCAAACTGCATTCCTAAGATCCACGTGAAATCCTTGATCACTAAAACACACCACAGCATAGCTTCAACACTCCAATGAAAATTTCCAATAATGAAGTTGCAGCATAGTTTTTCTAGACCCACAAGTCTAAGGTGATAGATCAAGAGACTTGGGCAGCCGGCCCTCACATTGGGTCTTAAATGAATTTTACAAATAGCCATAAAGGTTTATGGACTTTATTTGGTATCTGATGCTGACATTCTGTTCTATCCGATGTCAAGAGCAGCAATTGGGGATATTTGGGTTGCATAAGACTGGAATCATCTGAGTTTCACTTTGTAAGGACTGAGACCAGCACAAAACACCATGGGTCCAACAAATGCAATCAACCAGATCATGAACAGTTATCGTTCTAAAAACAAAATAGAGACTACTGACCTTTCTGAGTCTCCGGAGCCACTGGTTTTTCTCCTGTTTTTAGTCATCCAAACCATGAATATTTGATTCAACTTTGATGTCTTCAACAGACTTGTCATTGTTCAAATCATACAACTCCGGGTGGTTAGAACAATTTCATCTCCATCTCTGCAAATAAAATAAAATAAAAATAAATCAATAAAATAAAGAAACAGAAGAAAGGTAAGTAAATTGGCATTACAAGTGCTAATATAGGTTGAATTTCTCATGTCATATTGATAGATGATATTAGAAATGGATAATAGCAATAATAATGGACATAGCGTTTGCTCCGATCAGTGTACCGGGACTCGCCCCAGTCCACTCCAACTTGGGCGAGTAACTTGGGGCATGCCCATATTTCCCCTGAGTTGGGTGCACATAATGGGGAAAACAAAATTCAAAAAGTTTCTAAAAAAATTTTAAAAAAAAAAGTCGTTATAATCTTTTGTATATGATTTGGATGTATTTGGTCAAGGTGATTGTTTTTTCTCCATAACTGCTATTTATATTTTTTCCTCATAATTTTTTTTTAACTACCCTAGTCTGTAAATCGTTTTTCTTTTTTTTTTAATCAATTTTTTTAATTTTTTTCTACATTTTTTGAGCTTGTTTTAACTTTTTTGAGTAGCTTTAGTATTTTGGTTTACTTTTACCACAATTTTATTATTTTGCAATATTTTTTCTTTCTTTTAAATTTATTTGGGACAAAATGCCCTGTGCTGGACTAGGCCGAGTCTTGACGACTCAGCCAAGTTACTCGGCTCCACCCTTACCTTGGCCGAGTTGATTTTCTGCATGCTATTAGAAAAGTATAAGCAACAATGGAAACAAAGGGACTGCTTATTTTATCAAACTCATGGCAAATCCTTGAAAAATGAAATACTCGTAAACTATCCATACCTAGAGCCCAATCCGTACATAGCTTGGACATCTTTTGTCAAAAAAGGAAGGAAATCAAAATAGAAAACAATTACAAATCCACTTACAAGAGAGCAATATGAATACCAATTACCCTACTCCCTATAAAACACATTCAACCCCACAAATTCCTTTAAAAAAATCAAAATTTTCAAGTGAGGAGATTAGAATTGCTAAGACTATTTGATATTCTCAGACAAAATCGCATTTCAAATAAATTGACAGAAATTGAAGCTGTGCTTTACCTGGTTCTAAGGATTTGAGAGAGAAACAAGAACATTGTAGCTCCGATTGAAATGCAGAGAGCTTCTGCTTTTCCTCTGTGGCCTGCATGCAAGAAACCCCAAGAGAGGAGAAGCTTGAGTTGACACCACTGGCCACTTGCCAATACAAAAGCAAGGGCTTGACATGTTACTATTGAAGCCTGTATTGGAGCCTCAAACCCCAAATCTCTCCATGACATGTTACTATTGAAGCCTATACTGGAGCCTCAAGCCCCAAATCTCTCCGCGTTAAACCCTAATTCTCCCTATGAAAGAAAGATAATAACCATAAAAATTGTTCACTTATTTATGTTAAAATAAGAAGAAATGGAGGAGAAATAGAGATTGTACTCATGAAGAAATGTCGAGACCTACCTCGTCTCTAACAAGCCTATCGTGAGCCATTAAATACGTCGTTTGGGTTTTGAGTGCGATACCATCCTCCGGGAGCAAGCTGCTCATTTGCTCCGTCTGCTCATATATATATAAATTGTTTGATGCGGGCTGCACCGACATTTCTACGGTCAAGAAAGTGTAAAACTTCCATCAATTGGGGGAGGTTTGCAAAGAGATGAGGCTCTAAACAATCAAAGTAGAGCCTAAATAGTGTCCAGAAATGTGGTTTCGAAAATTTTTGTGATAGCCTTAAAATATATTTTCATCTCTAATTATAAAATTTAAAGTCTCAAAAATAGTGTAGATCAAGCAGATCTATGAAAATCTTGAAAGTTGATGGTCCAAAAATGCGTTACAAGATGCAATAGTTCCAAAACTTGAAATCCATTTTTTTGGGCTGAATTGGACCATGTTGCTTCCCTAACTCATTCTGTTTCTGTTTGGTGTCTAGGGGGGGGGGGGGTGGTAATTTCAACATCACCAGATGATCCCATGAGAGAAATTCTAATCCCACCATCTCTCAGGGAATGATGGATTTCTCGGACTTCATTTTTTGTCATGAACTACTAGATATACCCCTTTAAGGAAACCGTTTCACTTGGTCAAATCACTCCTCTCAACCCTCTCTCTAAATTAGATCGATTCCTCCTTTCCTTGAATTGGGAGGAACAATTTCAAGGCTCTCAAGCTCTAGCTTTGCCGAAACCCACCTCTAACCACTGTAATATTCTCCTGGACACTTTAGCTATCAGGAGAGGACCGAAGCCTTTTAGATTTGAATTAGCTTGGCTTGAAGAGGACTCACTCTCCAACCTGATTCCAACTTGGTGGAACTCCTTTCCACCTACGTCTCGAGTAGAGTAGGCTATAGGTTACAAATTAAAATCCAACTTCTCAAAGCCTCTCTCAAAACTTGGAGTAAGTCCATCCCCAAGAATTACTCCGAAACCTAGTCCTCTTTGCTGAATTCCATCCAAGACCCTGATCGAACAGAGGAGTCCAGACCTCTGACAGCCACTGAAACAATCCTTAGAATCCAAACCAAGCTAGAATACTTCTCAATCTTAAAAAAAGAATTGTATTGGTTTCAGAGGTCTAGAGTCAATTGGTTAAAAGCAGGGGACCAAAATACGGGGTTCTTCCACCGGATAGCTACCATCCGCAGAAGAGACAATGCGAATTCCACTATCAAGGTGAATAATCGATATCTCGTTCAGCCGGAAGAAAATCGAGTCGACCATCCTCGGCTTCTTCAAGGCACTCTACACTGCCCCTCTGGGTACCAAACACAATTTACGACCCCGTTTTAAATCCATTTTTTCAACATTTTATAAGCTTGTTTGAACTTTTTTGAGTTGTTTTAGTATTTGGTTTACTTTTACTACATGTTTATTACTTTTTCAATATTTTTTCTTTCTTTTAAATTTATTTGGGCCAAAATCCCTTGTGCGGAACTGAGCTGAGTCATGAGGACTCAGCCAAGTTACTCGGCTCTGCCCTTACCTTGGCCGAGTCGATTTTCTGCATGATATTAGAAAAACATAAGCAACAATGGAAATATAGGGATTGCTTATTTTATCAAACTCATGGCAAATCCTTGAAAAATGAAATACTCGTAACTATGCATACCTAGAGCCCAATCCGTACATAGCTTGGGCATCTTTTGTCGAAAAAGGAAGGAAATCAAAATAGAAAACAATAATAAATCCACTTACAAGAGAGAAATACGAATACCAATTACTCTACTCCTTACAAAACACATTCAACCCCACAAATTCCTTTAAAAAAATCAAATTTTCAAGTGAAAGGAGATTAGAATTGCTAAGACTATTTGATATTCTCAGACAAAATTGCGCTTCAAATAAATTGACAGAAATTGAAGCCATGTTTTACCTGGTTCCAAGGATTTGAGAGAGAAACAAGACCAATGGAGCTCCGATTGAAATGCAGAGAGCTTCTGCTTTTCCTCTGTGGCTTGCGTGCGGGAAACCCCAAGAGAGGAGAAGCTTGAGTTGACGCCACTGGCCGCTTGCCGATACAAGAGCAAGGGCTTGACATGTTACAATTGAAGCCTCTATTGGAGTCTCAATCCCTAAATCTCTCCATGTTAAACCCTAATTCTCCCCATGAAATACAGATAATAACCATAAAAATTTTCACTTATTTCTGTTAAAATGAGAGGAAGTGGAGGAGGAAAAGAGATTGTGCTCGTGAAGAAATGCCCGAGACCTTCCTAGTCGCTGACAAGCCTATCGTGAGCAATTAAGTACATCATTTAGGTTTTAAGTGCGTATACCATGCTCCTCCAAGAGCAAGCTGCTCATTTGGTCTGTTTGAAAGAATATATATATATATATATAAATTGTTTAAAGCGGGCTGCACTGACATGTTTACGGTTCAGAAAGTGTAAAGCATCGATCTATTGGGTGCGGTTTGCATAGAGCCGACGCTCTAAATAATTAAAGTAGAGGCTACCTTTAAATAGTGTCCAGAAATGTGGTTTTGAAAATCTTTGTGATAGGCTTAAAATATATTTTCATCTCTAATTATAAAATTTAACGTCTCAAAAATAATGTAGATCAAGCAAATCTATGAAAATCTTGAAAATTGACGGTCCAAAAATGCGTTACAAGATGCACTATTTCCAAAGAAATCCATTTTTTTGGGCTGAATTGGACCATGTTGCTTCCCTACCTCATTCTGTTTCGTGTCTAAGGGGGGGGATTTCAACATCACCAGATGGTCCCATGCGAGAAATTCTAATCCCACCATCTCTCAGGGAATGATGGATTTCTCGGACTTCATTTTTCGTCATGGACTACTTGATATACCCCTTCATGGAAACCGTTTCACTCGATCAAATCACTCCTCTCAACCCTCTCTCTAAATTAGATCGGTTCCTCCTTTCCTTGAATTGGGAGGAACAATTTTCGGGCTCTCATGCTCTGGCTTTGCCGAAACCCGCCTCTGACCACTGTCCTATTCTCCTGGAGACTTTAATTGTCTAGAGAAGATCGAAGCTTTTTAGTTTTGAACTAGCTTGGCTCGAAGAGGACTCACTCTCCACCCTGATTCCAACTTGGTGGAACTCCTTTTCCACCTAGGTCTCGAGTAGAGCAGGCTATAGGTTACAAACTAAAATCCACCTTCTCAAAGCCTCTCTCAAAACTTGGAGTAAGTCTATCCACGAGAATTACTCCCAAACCAAGTCCTCTTTGCTGAATTCCATCCAAGACCTCGATCAAACAGAGGAGTCTAGACCTCTGACAGCCACTGAAACAATCCTTAGAACCCAAACCAAGTTGGAATACTTCTCAATCTTAAAAAAATAATTATATTGGTTTCAGAGGTCTAGAGTCAATTGGTTAGAAGCAAGGGACCAAAATACGGGGTTCTTCCACCGGATAGCTAACTGCCGCAGAAGAGACAATACTAATTCCACTATCAAGGTGAATAATCAATATCTCGTTCAGCCAAAGGAAAATCGAGTCGTCCATCCTCGACTTCTTCAAGGCACTCTACACTGCCCCTCTGGGTCCCAAACCAAGGATGACCAACCTGGACTTTTTAACTTTGCCAAATCACTGGGCATTTTGGCTGGAGCGCCCTTTCTATGCAAATGACACTTTAGTGTTCCTAGATGCTTCTTCTGAAGAAATTGAAAATCTAAGGCTTTATCTCAAATGCTTCGAGGCAGCTATAGGCTTCAAAGTAAATCAAAGATGATGGGGGTGGCACTCACAAACGCTGAAATCTAAGCGCTAATTCCTAATTGGGATTGCAAAGTGGAGGACTTTCTCACCACCTACCTGGGCCTACCCTTGGGACTGGGAAAACCTAAAACGAGACAGTGGTCCCAAATCATAGACAAAGTAGACAAGGGTAGAAAGGGAGATTCCTTTCCCTGGCTGGCCACACCACACTGATAAAAGCAAGACTAGAAAATGCCTCGGTCTACCTTATGTCTATCTTCCACATGTCGATCTCGGTTGCCAAACGCTTTGACCAGCTGATGAGGAATTTCCTTAAGTCAGGACAGGTCGAGACGATCAAATGTCACTTCATCTCCTTGGACAAGGTGTGCCTACCCAAACTCCATGGTGGGCTCGAGATAAGAACCCTTAGAAAACACAATCTGGCCCTAATTGGAAAATGGCGGTGGCATTTAGCCACTCAGCCCAACTCCCTCTGGGCTCAGCTCATACGCAGAAAATACAGGATTTTGGATGAAACATGGATGCCAGAAAGAAAGGCCCCATGTAGGGTTTCAACGGCATGGAAGTCCTTTGCTGTCTCTCTCTCACTGTTCAAAATATTCATCCGGGTTCATCCTAGAGAAGGAACAAGAGGGTGTTTTTGGTAGGACTTCTGGATAGGACAAACACCTCCAAGGGATCTCTTTCCGCCCATGTACCATCTAGCCTCAAACAAAGAGGCTACCATTGCAGATGAAATGCTCATATCAACGAACCGAAGAGTTTGGAACCCCTCGTTCAGAAGAAACCTCAATAAATATGAAATTGGTGATAGCTTCGTTTTATAAAAGACTTATCTAACCCCCCAACTTCCCTCTCAACCCTATCGTTGTCCTATCCAAGGTATGGTCTACCATTGCTCCTCCCAAAGTACAGACCGTCACCTAGATTGCCTGCTCCCAACAGGCACTCACAGTTGATCAGCTCCAAAAGAAAGGGATTCAAATTCCCAACCGATGCGCCATGTGCTTATGCGAGGAGGAATCGAACCCACACCTCCTCATTCATTGCAGCATCACTTTTGACCTGTGGAGCCAAGTGCTACAGCTGTTTCGTCTTCAATGGGTCACCCCACCCTCGGTCAAGGCTCATACCACGCTCCTCATTGGCTGAAGGCCGAAAGAACTTTGTGGAAGGCATCCATCGCAGCCACCATATGGGTCATCTGGCTAGAAGGGAATGTCAAGGTTTTCCAAGGCCAAAAAAATGTAGTCTCAACCCTCTTCCACAAGGTTACTACTCTAGTAACTTTCTGGACCTCCAATCACAGGGCCTTCTCTGGGATTGCAGCTAACACTTTTCTCAGCCACTGGGAAAACGTCCTGTATCTCCAACCACAGAAGGCCCAAAGACCCAACAATTGGCAGTGACCTCCAGAAGGTGCAATTAAGCTTAACTTCGATGGCTGCTTTCTGAGGAACCCTGGCCCCGCTAGAGCAGGTGGTATATTCCGAGACCATCACCGCAACATCCTGTTCACTTTCTCCGAACACTAAGGCTATGAAGACTCTCAATATGCTGAAGCCGTGGCCCTACTCATGGGTCTAAAAAGCTTCAACCATTCATGGGGCTCACATTTGCTGGTGGAAGGTGACCCTCAAAACGTTATCCCCTGGGCAGCAGAGACTTCATCACCTCCTTGGTACCTATCTTCCATTTTTGATGAAAGTGGTTACACATGCAAGGGTATGGTCGTCTCATGGAAGCATATCTAGAGGACGTCCAACGAGCTCGCCGATCTTTTGGAGAAAGAAGAAGCTAGGGCCCACGCTGATGACCCTGCCCGGTCCACTCCTTTTTTGATTTGTACATGCTTACGGGGTGTAGTTACTCCTTAGCACATCTCTTGTAATCGAGGAAGTCTATAAGCCCCAATTTTTTGTAACCCAAAAGAATACTTTGTAATCGGGCAAGTCTATAAGCCCAATTTTTTGTAACCCAAAAGAAAACCTATTCTAATCGGGAGGGTCTATAGGCCAAATTTTTTTGTATAGGCCTTAGACCTATGTTTTGGCCGAGAGACCCGACTTGTGGGTACTCTCGGATCCCTCTTCTATACTTAACACTCTACAACAACACAATTGTTAACTTTACTCAAAAAAAAAAAAATAATATAATAGAATTAAAAAAGAAAAAGAAAAAAAAAAGCATGAATTTTCTCTCTCTTTTTTTTTGAAATTTATGTTTTTATCTTTACATGTTTGAATTTCTGAACAACAATAGAATGAAAAAAGTTGTTTCGTATACTGCTAAAAAGGAAAGAATAAAAATTGAAAAATGCAAAATACGAAAAGAAAGAACAGCCACAATGAAAGAAAAGAGGAAAAAAAAAGTAGAAAGTGTAGAATGATTTTTTTGTAATTTTTTTTAAATTAATGCGATAAATTACATTTTCTTGTAATTTTTTAAAAAAATCTGATTATCTATATTTTAATGAAATTTCCACTTATTGTGAAGTGTGCTTCGTGAGTATGGATTGGATGTAAGATTTGTGCATTCTGGTATAGTTTTTAATTTGTAGGAGATTCTTATTACCTATTTGTGGTTGAGACTTGAGACTTGGATGTAAGATTTGTGCATTCTGGTATAGTTTTTAATTTGTAGGAGATTCTTATTACCTATTTGTGGTTGAGACTTGAGACTTTGATATTTGAATTGGAGAAAAAAAAAAGTCTTCAAGTGGGTCTCATAGAGGAAGAGCAGACCCGCCATGATGCCATGTAAGAAGAGCACATTAGGGAGACAAGTGGGAAACTATTTGCATATATTATTTAATACCAATAAAACGTGGGGGAATACATTGGATTAAGGAGCATTTCGCCCAAAAGACTAGGAACATGGCCAAATGCCCCAAAGTTTTCTCTCATTTGATGTATTGAGATACAAAAAAGCATTGAACATCACATAACTGAGAAGCAAAAGAGGCAAACAATTGATGACAAGATCAGGAACCCTAATCCTACCCCAAGGAGGAGTATATTGATATTAAGGAGAATAGGAGGCTAAGAATCCTCCTCAAACTAGGAGACTTGGAAAAGTGCATGCCACCACAACTTCTACTGCTACTGCGACTTGCAAGCTAAAGAGACAAAGGCAAGGTAGGATAGAGCCTTATTTCCTATCGAGGACAACACCAGGCTTCCAGCCAACCATCAAAAATATATTGGATGGGGAGCAAGCCCTAGAGAGAGGGAATTTGTTCAGGAAATGGGGCCAAAGAAGGTGATTCAGTTTATTCTAGAAAATGCCGCCGAATACTCCTTTTGGGGGCCATTGCTACAAGCTCATTATCCCTCTTTCAGACATCTTGTGCAGCCCATTTTATAGACTTATGCTAGATGATATAGGGAAGATGGATTAAAGAAATTGTAGATACTGCATAGGATATTACAAATTTTATCTACATCCACTAATTTGTCCTCAATCTTATGAGGAAGGATGCAAATAATAATGAGTGAGTGATGCCGACAATAACTAGATTTGCTACTAATTTCCTAACATTACAGAGCATGTTGAATCAAATGAATGGCCTGAGAGCCATAGTCATGTCAGCAACATGGAAGAATCCTATATGGACCAAGACGCCTAGTGGGAAGGGGGTGGCGGATTGGGTTTTAAGTAATCATTTTTAGACTAGTATTCAACAAGTAATTCAAATTATAAAGCCCATGTAAAGTTTTTGAGAAGATAGTGATTCTAGGCATGCCATGGAGTACATATAGGAGAACCCGACACAAGAAATACTGGGACATAATTGACAAAAAATGGGAAGGGCAGTAACATTGCCCTAAACGTGCAGCTAGATATTATCACAGCCCCTAATTCTTCCACAACAAGTACACATCAACCCATCAGATGGTTTTGAGGGGACTTGCAGACCATGGTGGAGAACTTATACCCTGAGACACATATGCAAGTGAAGATCAGAGAGAGTTGTGACAATATCAAAATGCATCAGGAGTATTTGGGCGATCTTTAGCAATTACCTTGAATGGTACAAACCTCCCAGGTAATCCATTTTATGAAGTCGTTATTAATTATAATGTAATGCATTTTTTCTTGTGTATTTCAAGTTCTCTAATCTATGTTATTTAATATCACTTTCAACGGCTTGGAGGGAACAATTTGGTGGAGAAGCTCCCAACCTACGAACTTTTCGATCTGTATTCTAAATAAAACTTGCAGTGCAAGTGGATGTGAGAGGAATTGGAGTGTCTTCCAATGCATCCACATTGATAAGTGAAATAGGTTTCAACACAAGACTCCAAATGACTTTGTTTTTGTAAAATACAACTTGAGCTTTGAAGCGAAGTAATAAACTCTTGTGTCCTTTATTTTTTCATTATGTATCTTAATTATAAAGTTCTAGAATTACTTCTATTTATGATTAATCTTTGCAAACTTATATTGTAGGAACGGAGAAAACCAATGCCTTAAGACAAATTGACTTAGAGAGGATCGATATTGTGGAACAGTAGGTTGTCGAGAAAGAGAGGCTCGCACTTGAAGGTGTTAAAGGGCATCTAAATAATTGGATAGAGATTAAACCATCATCATCATCGTCAAAACCTTTTCCCAACTAAATGGAACCACCATAAGAGGGTAAAAGTTTTATTTAATAATTATATGTTTTAAGGTTTTATGCACACTAGGGATGTAAGTTTGTCTCCTAATATTCTCATAGGTGTAGATGATGATGATTTGGAGGTCAACATTAAAGAGCCCAATGATAAGCAAAGAAATCGAAATGAAGTTGATGAAACGACTTAATTATTTTCTACAGTTTTGTTATATCACTTGGGTTTTGCAATATTCTAATTGTAAGAAGCTTTTAAGGCCTATATGTTATAGATTGTGGACTTGTGGTGGTATACTTATTTTCTCCCTACTTATGATTGTGGTTCATAACAATGTTTTTAATAATATATTATGAGCCTTTTGTTTTGTATTTTCTTTAAAATTTGAGTTATTGTATTATTAATCAGTATTTCTTATTGTTTGAGGAGTTATGTTTCTAATATCTTATGAATTTTTCTTAATATTTTCGATTCTTCTTTTTTTCCATATTTTTCTCTATTTTTTCAATTATTTCCTTATTTTACTATTTGTTATTAATTATTTAATTTCTTAGACCAGTCCAACCAGTGAATCAATCAGGTTCGGCCCATCCAACCAAACCAGTGCCCTCATTGATTTGTTCACTAGTCCGACCATAACAACATTGCTCAAAACATACAAGTGAGTTGCCAAGTCTTTTATTGGAAGGGATAAGCATGACAATAAAGCAGTTAGTAGCAGAGTGCAACACACTACCCAGGACTGTCTTATTGCTATCCAAACAACATGAAGTCAAAAATCATGTGAAACCATTCCTCAGATCTCGGAGAAAAATTTTTTTTGCTCTTCAATAACCTTGTTTTGAGACCATGTTAAAAAGCAGCAATGAGAGCAATCATCAAACTATCTCACTATAAACCATAAATTATTTATGACTAATTAAATAAATATAAAGAAATAGTCAACAACAGAGTTCTGAATATTTCTGGTTGTGTTCATAATAACCCAAAGCAGACCTAGATATGGTCTAGGACATAGGAAGGATAACACTTCAAAATCAAAAATCCCTAAAATTTTCTTCTAACTAAAAATAAATAAAAAATCTGCAGGATTACAGTGTCTATTTATAGCTGTAGAAGGGACTATCACATCCCATTCAAACT